CTGCAAGGGTCCAGCTCTTGCATGCATGTGGCTGCAGACCAGGACTGTATACTGCTGCCCTGTGTGCTGCTATCATGCCTGTTGAACTAATCACTGAGTGGTGTGGCAAAGTTTCATATCATGGGGGAAGAAATAAGGCAGCCCTCCCAAGAAACCTTCAGCAGAGGATTGGAGATCAACCTCGAGATCTCTATGGAGGATTCATGGGACATCCCAGTGTGCATAAACAAATTTTTCCGTGAGGTCCCCTCTCCCTAACTGTAGAGGGGAATGAGAAGCAGATAGAAACTGTTCCTTTGTTGGTTATTCACTACCTCTTGTAGCCTGCTTAAAAAAGAAGTACATGAGCAGATGGTTCCCTGCATTATTGAAGCAGAATGAGTACTTACCAGAGGCTCCCTCCCCTGCATCATAGATTATCCAGGAGTCAAAAAGAGATCCTGGCTCACTACACCACCAGATCACCCTATTGCCTGTCCCCCATCCTCCTCTGCCTCTACTTCCTCGTCCAGCATGTCATCCTCTGGGTTCACTCTGGTGGCCAGTGACTCCAGCCTTCCCGAAGTATCCCAGGGGCTCTTAGCAGTGGAGATGGATTCACGTCTGCCAAAGATGGAGTACAGCTCCCTGTAGAAGAAGAATGTCTGCAGCTCTGTACTAAAGTGGCCATTTGCCTCCCTGGCCTTCTGATACACCTGCCTCAACTCCTTGATTTTTATGCGGCACTACAGCATGTCCCTGTCATAGCCCTTCTCCACCATACCTTGAGCAATATGGCCATAGATATCAAAGTTCCTGTGGCTGGAGCGGAGTTGTAGCTGCACAGATTCCTCTCCCCACAGACCCAGGAGATTCACTACCTCCCGTGCTCCAGGCAGGAGTGAGTTTGCTGCATGGAGGTGGCATGCTCAGCTGGGCAGTTGCTCTCCATGTCGAGCAAACAGGAAGAGCAATTTCAAAACTTCCTGGGGCTTTAAAAGGGGAGGGGCATTCACTTGTGTATCTGGCTGCAGGGCAGCAGAGTTCAAAATGTAACCAGAGTGGTCATGGTGTGCATTGTAGGACACCTCCTGGAGGCTCCTTACGGCAACGTAAGCCACGTAGCATCTACACTGCATTGCTCTAAGTACATTGCAATATGCTTTATGCCTCTCATCCAGGCAGTTTTATTAGGTTGGTGTAGCAGGCGTGTTAAAGCGGTGGAGGAACATTGCAGTGTGTACACGTCCATAGTTAGGTTGGTGTAAGCTACCTTACATCAACTTAACTTTGTAGTGTAGACATACATTCTATGGTTACTCTTGGTTATTCAGCATGGGGAAATTCCCTATTGGCTTCAGAGCTGGGATGTTCTTTTCAATTTCAAGTTGTCTCAGTGTATTTCCATTACCTGTAATGGTTCATTGTTGTTTTCTGCTGGGTTTGACAATGGATAGTTATTTGAAGCTGGTTTTATGTAAATAACTGGTTTTGGTGGTGCCCCTTCCTGCTTGACTGCTCACTGCCTTGCTGTGAGGTGTAGTACTGATTATGAGCAGTTTTCTATACACAAATGCATACATTTACCACCACCGTCTGTATAAATATTTCATAACCATCAAATTCAGAACATTGTAAGTTTCACAAAAAACTTACCTGATACACTAGGTTTATAGTACAATAATACAGTATGCAACCATTTGGTTTAAATGGTCATTTTTAGAGTTTAAACCTCCTCTTCTCCCTTGGGGTATCTGTACCCTGATTGTCACACCTCTCCCCTCACAGAGATAGACACCTACATCTAGGCTGCAGGAAGATGCCTATCTCTGCTTAGCAATCCATGAATGGAAACCTGTCTCCTGGAGTCAGGTGGCTTAGGCTCCTAAGTAGTTTTTTGTGAGAATGAGTTAGACGCCTGCCTACACACAAAATGGCCGGAGGAGGAGGTGCAGTGGTGGGTCAGGAGGGGCGAATGCCTGGTGGCCTTTAGTTGTATATGTAGCATCCCCACATCAGAATATCCCATAGTTCAGTGGTAGGGCACTCTCCTGAGGAGTAGAAGAACCCCTCTTCAAATTCTTGCTCCCTTTCAGGCAGAAGGGGAAACTGAATCTGGGTCTCCACATCCCAGTTAGGTGCTCTAATCACTGTGCTGAAAGTTATAAGGTGGGTGACAGCAGTGGCACCTCTTCCTCCAGACAGATTTTGAATGGGCCCTGATCTAGGCAGGCGCCTCTGAGTATGCTTAGTGGATTGGGCCCTGCATGTGAGATTGGTGTTTATCTGCTTGTATTCCACAGTTCATGGATTGCTCAAGGGATTAGATGGACACTTAGAGTCAGGCAGTGGTGCACAAGCCAGAGGCAGGAACACAGGCTCCTACGGAACTTTTATGCTGAAAACTTAGGTGGCTAGTGAATTATCTAGGTGACAACAGGCTTTGTCAGGAGTTTTGTGAATCACAACAGAGCCTAAAACTAGGACTTAAGCACCTAAACTCAAGACTTAAGTGTCAAAGTACCTCTGTGGACCAGGGCCATAGTGATCAGAAATAATCCATTCAATTCACTAACTACATGTAATACTCCATTGTTTAATAAATCAGTTAGTTTTCAAAGCAAAAGATGTATTGATAAACTTTTATATATAAAAAAGTCTTATGTATCCAGCACATTTAAGATAGTTTTATTTAATTTTCAAATATAAAAATACTGTTTTTGTGCATTTTTAATTGAATAGAGCCTGACACAAATCACAAATAAAAAATTAATCATCTAATAAATAAGAAATGCATCATTCACCATTTTCTAATATAATAAAAATGCAAAAATTAAGTATCTGAATAAATGTAAGTTAAGCTATACAACTGCTTAAATAAATGTGTATAAATAGAGTGTATACTCCTAGTTAGCAAAAAGAAGCACCAAATTTAGCTATATTTAGTTGCAAATCAAATCAACCATTAAATTAATGGTTACCAACTAATGAGAATCAACCTTTCTTTAGGAAAAAAGTAAAATGCAAAACATGATTAAAATCCATGTTTTTAGTCACAGTTTCCTGCTTGCTGATTTTAATCAGGATTGAAAATGGTGCTTTAAATCCCTTTTATCTAAATCAATCCAGCCTGCTTGTTAAGATACAGATCTTGTGGGAAATCTCCTGACAGTAATGGTTTCAAACCCCGTTCTTTTAAAAATTGGCACACTAGTGAGCTCTTTTACCATAACTGGTAATACTCCTTGATACTAGGCCATTTTATTTCCATGTATGTATCTGATAAGCTTTGTATTGATCTACTAATGAGCTATTTTTAATTACACCTAAACATTTTACAAAGCCAAATCAACTTCTTACCATTTTACTGGTACAGTATATATTTGAAATGTTTGAAAATTATTTAGTGCCCCGTAGTGTAGTGGTGTACATGTAATAAATTCCCCAGCACAGAAAGGTAGCAGTAACCTCTCACAGGTCATATGCTCACAGATTAACTATCTCCTCCTAGTTGGATGATAAATTATTATACAACCCCTTCCTCCCAGGGCTTCAGAGTTAACTATGAATGCACCCCTTAATTATAATAGTCACCAAACCTGAAGAGCATTTAACTGTCTCATTAACCACATGCTACATGTACAGGAAATAACAGAAGCAAAGCTACTGTCAGTAAAATTAATTAGTTGAATCACCCCTGAGAGGAAGCACTTTCTCTCTGACTGGGACAGATTGGATCTTCCCATGATTGATAATTCACAGCATTTTCTCACATAGGGATGCTCATCCAGTTCAGACCCCTTCCTGCTCTTTGCAGAATGTTCTTAGATAGGTTCCTATTTCCAAGTTCAGTTTGTACCTGACGCCTGGTTGGGTATTGTACAACTGAATTACCCAACACTTTCTCTCACCGGGGGCAATAGGCAATGGGTGGAGTGCCCTCAACAGGTCTTGAAGTCAGTGGCCCACATACGATAGGACCCTTGATTACAGTGTTCATCTGCAGCATAGCTACAATATTCTTTTATGTCCTTTGACTATCAGGTTAATTTGAATCAAAGTCATGTGGGTAGTGTAAGTATAGAAGCCATTTGGATCAAATATGGTGGTGCTATTCTTATTTATTCAAGAGTTTTACTTTTCATGTATTTTGAAAAGAAAATGGATGGCACCTCATAACTGAAAGGACATTTCTTTTTTCACTTGGCCCAAACTGTTGTTTATCCGTGTCTATCTTTGAAGAGCTTTAGGTCTATTTTTCAGACTATGAAATATGTACACCTATCTCTGTGAATAGCATGAGGGGATGGGATCCGGGCACCAATAAAAATCTAAATACATGCTGAAAAAATGATGTCATTTCCTAAGGCAGTATCTAGTTATCAAAGGGTGGACATCCATCCCAAACCCACAATTTCCCAGCTCCTGTAGGATGCAATTAGATTAATCTCAGAGTCAAAAGGCTAAGTATAATCAATTAGATTAAGTAAACACTTAGAGTCAAAAGGAGGAAGGTTATTCCCCCCTTTACTTTAAACTGATTGTGTTATTTCATTTGTTCTCAATAGTTTATGAAGAACTTGGCTCCTTTCTTTAGCATTTTCTGAGTCACTTTATCTTATGTTGAATGGAGGCGTCCCTGCAGCCAAGTGCCATCTGGTGGAAATTTTATTAAAAGAGATTGGGTGTAAGGGAGAGATTTGTTCTTTGAATCAAAACACAAACCAGTTCACATGAGTAATAGGTCATTTATATAAAATCTTTCAATTTCCTACTCTTCTAGGTTAATATTTCATATCATACCAAGGGAGGAGCTGCTGTTGAAAAAAAGAAAATATTTTGAAAGATGCCCGAACAAAGCATTGCCATCGAAGTACAATGTGGTGATGATTAGTATCTCATCAGGAAACGACACTAACTACATACAGAATGCAAGCTCAACAGGCTGCTTTCTGTTAAATGGGACTCGTGAACAGCTTTAGCGTCATTTTGTTTTGATTAAAACAAGATGCCACATTACCCTTTACTTCTGATTTCTTTAGCACTTCCTCGTATTTACGATGTGCTCAGGGCTGTGTAATAACAACACACAGCCCAGGACTGAGAATCCTTTTATTTTGTCTGGTATGAAAGACTTTTGAAATTTCCCCGTAGTTTAAAGACCCGGGTCAGATGCCTGAGCTGTCTCCGTCCCAGATTCCTTTCCTCTTACTGCAGAGTCCTTAGCACAGACCTCAGAGGTGGAAATGGCATTGGGTGATGCAGGGCAGCGAGAGCGTGAAGGTGTGTTGCGCGCACTTTGGACTGCGCACGGATCTGTTCACCACCGGTACGTTAATAAAGACTTTGGTTAAGGGCTGGAGAGGAGATGGAGGCGGGGGGCGTATTGTATGGGCCGGGTGAGGGCCAAAGCTGTTTCATTATCGGAGGGAAGGGGGTACTGTTGCTTGGTTCAGGTGTTGGGAATTGAGATTGTTGCTAAACTGCAGGGATGCGGGGAGATGGTTGCGCTTGGATCTGGGGGTGGGGAGACTGTGTTGTTGGGGTTACTATCGTTGCTTTGTTAGGGTGGGGTGAGAAGCTAATTGCTTGGTTGGGGAAGACGTTCCTAAGTAGGTGGTACGGGAGAAATTGGCTGTTTGGTTCGGGGGGTGGGGGAGATAGTTGCTGGGTGGGAAGATAATAGGCGTGCTAGCTGCGGTGTGTATGCACAGCCCACCCTCTCTGTGTGCCAGATGACAGGCAAAGCCCCTATATATGCCGCCGGGAAGCGCATTCATCAGTAGCGCAATCCTTTCTCTTGCTTCCCAAGAAAGTTTGTATCCCAAAGAGCAGAGTCGAGCCGGGAGGCGTGCAGGGTCGGGGCCACTGAGAGCCCGGGATTGCCCTGCACAAGACCCCAGCCCCCCATTTGCTGGGACTCTGCGAGGAGCCATGGGAGATCCTTTCAGCCTAGACAGATTTTCCCCGGTACTCAACCTCTCGAGTGCCCTGCAGCCAGGCTGGAGCCTGAATCTCTCCTCCTCCCCCGGAGACCGGCGCTGGCCTTCCCTGAGCCGGCAGGTGCGGGTGATCTCGGCGACCGCCATCCTGCTGCTGGGGCTGCTGGGCAATTGCCTGGTGCTGCATCGCCTCTGCTGCTGTGGCTGCTGCGGCCGGGGCAGGCGGCGGCGGAAGATGGATTTCCTCATCGCCCACCTGGCGCTGGCCGATCTCTACGGCTGCGGGCTGGCCCTGCTCTCGTATCTGGCGGCGGAGCTGTTGGGGGCCGCCTGGCCAGCGGGGGACGCCGCCTGCCGCCTGCTTAAGCTACTGCAGGGCTCCGGCCTCCTGGCCTCGTCCAACGTGCTGGTGCTCATCGCCATGGAGCGGCACCACGTGGTGAGGCGGCCGGCTGACCCGCCGCTGCCCGCCCGGGCCCTGGCCGCGCTGGGCTGGCTGCTGGCGCTGCTGCTCGCCCTGCCCCAGGCCTTCGTCTTCAGACTCGCCTCCCGCCCCGGGGGCGGCCGCTGCCTCAGCATCTTCGAGCAGCTGCCGCGCTGGCACGGCCAGGCCTACGGCGTGTACGGGGCCGTCACCGGCTTCTTGGCGCCCGTCAGCCTGCTGTGCTGGGCCTACGGCCGCATCCTCCTCGCCCTCTGGGCTGCCCAGGAGGAGAAGCCGCCGGCGGCGCGGGGAGAAGACGGCAGCGGCCGCCGTCGGGGGCGGCCGGCCGCACGGCCCCTGCTGCTGAGGCTGCCGGCCGCCAGCTGCCCCATGCCCCGGGCTCGGGTCAAGACGCTGCAGCTGACGCTAGTGCTGATCGCCCTGTTCGCGCTCTGTCGCCTGCCCCGCTTCGTGCTGGAGCTCAGCATAGCCTTCGGGCCCGGAGGGGAGGCCCCGGCCGGGCTGCGGGAGGCGCGGGCCGCGCTCGGCATCGTGGCGGTAACCAACAGCGCGCTGAACCCCTACGCCTATCTGCTCTTCCAGAGCCACCGGCCCTGGGCGCGCCGGCTGCAGAGGAGCCTCTGCAGTGCGGGACCCGGCCCGACCTGCTGCTGCCCTGGCCCCGAGGGGGAGCCCCGGCGCCGGCCGAACCACCGCGCCCCGCACAGACACCGCCCGAAGGACGGGGCGCCCCCCGGAGCGCAGCGCGCCGCGTTCTGCACTCCAGTGCCGCCGCCTGGCTCAGGCCCCCGGGAGCCTGAGGAAACCTCCGCCTGTGAGAGCGGCTTCTAATCAGCCTTTCTGGGGGTGGGGGACAGAGCCCCCAAGCGGCACCCACCAGCAGGAGCAAGCAACGGGCCACCGAGGGCAGAGAACGATATCGTTTAAAAACAACAAGGAGTCCGGTGGCACCTTAAAGACTAACAGATTTATTTGGGCATAAGCTTTCGTGGTAAAAAAACCCACTTCTTCAGATGCATGGAGTGAAAAGAACACCTGAAGAAGTGTCTTTAAGGTGCCACCGGACTCTTTGTTGTTTTTGTGGATACAGACTAACTCGGCTACCCCCTGATACTTGATATGGTTTAACATCCTCCTTGGCCCAGTGCCCGGCCATCACCCCAGCCTGTCCTTCACCAACACCCCCATCACTCCTGCACATGCCTTTCTCTCTTCCCATTACTTTTCTGCCAAGTTAATCTTCTGCCACTTCTTCCTGTCTCTCTCCCATACCCTTCCTCTCAATCATCTCTCCAACTTTCCCTTCTTTCTTTTCCAGAGTTTGAATAAGGACAAATATGGGGTTTAAAGTTAACTCCTCTGGTGAGAGGCTCCTTACATGTTCAAAATGCTCCCAAGACATAGATCTCTGTGTTCATGTGATGACAGAAATTCAATTCCCTAACCAAGCAGGGGGAACAAGCCTCATTCCATCACTCTTTGTAGCCATGTGATGACTAGATGTAATGTGGTTTATAGAAGCTGAACTGTGTATTTTGCATCTTTAATATTTTTATTACAACTGAACTAGCTGCCTCCTTGTTCCTTAGGGATGTGGGGCTCAAAGTTAGGGTTTTCAAACCAGCACCAGTACTTTACAATTATATACAGATATGTATAGACAGGAAGGAATTTCAGAAAGTCTTTAACTGAAAGCCTCCTGAAAACTAGCCAGGATGAGGCTCTGTATTATGAGGTGTTCTGCACCATAACAATTGTAATGTCCTTAACCATAGCATTGTCCTTTGTGTTTTCAGTCTTTTTTTTTTTACAGGAGAAGAGTGCAAAAATCAGCAGGACTGCTGTTGCTATGCAAACTGACTGAATGTTGTACATATGAATAGCTCTATATTTGTAACCTTTACAAACCCTTCTGAATCTTTTTCTTGCACTCTGTGGACTTAGTGGTAACCCATTTGTAAATAAAATCAATGAGTATATGAAGTGACATTTTGTTTAAAGAAACAATTTAAAAGTAATGGTTCCATTTTGTTTCAATCTGGCTGGACTCTGTAGGATGAGCTGCTGAATGTGTTAATAATCGGCAATGAAGACTGAGTCAGTGGGCTGTGTGGGCGGAGTGTAATGGAAATCTACATGTACAAAACACACCTTGCAAAAGCCAAAGGTCTTCTAAAATTTTTATATGCCTGCCTAAGGAACAGTAACGTAGAGCTCATTTAATGAGATAATTGGCTCCCTCCTCCTATTGTTTAGGATTTAGCTAATATTGAATATTTTTAGATGCCCTTTTGGGCCCTGTTCACACTAGAAATAAAGTGAAACATAGGGCTACATCCTGTTTTCAGATAGCTAGGTAAAACTACTGAGTTGAATGTGAATTGTGTATTATATGGCACAATATACATGATGGTATATACATCAACACTACTAACATGTTAGAACTGTATTGGGTTCCATCTTTACTATAATTACAACAGAATTCTGAGACCCAGGGATAACAAGAGTTGTCCTGTAACATAGTGACAACTTGATTCCTGTAGATGAAACCTGAACAGTATTCCATAATTGGACTTGATGCTACAACTGGGAGCTACATAGTTACTGGTTCTCGTAACTTCATTGGAATTCTAGTGTAGAGAGGCCTTAGAATCACATTCCTATACTGCTGGAGTCAAAAGGTGGTAATTTTGAACACAAGTTTTAACTTGTTTAGGCTGTGTCTAGTTTGTTTCCCTCCTAAAGCTTCACACTATTGCTACCACATAAATGGTGTGTAATGGTGTGTGAACCCCACACAGGCCCTGAAAGGATTTATGTGGGCCCGAGAGGCTAATTATGTTACTTGGCCGCTCCTGGAGGAAGAACTAGGCTTAACTGATCACGAAGACAGTTTGGTAAGAGCAAGCTGGTTATAGGAGACTAACACAATGACTGTCGGCAGAGGGTGCCAGAATGAAGGAGAGCTGCTATGCCATGCCTGGCCACGAGGAGGCCACTATACACAGCTCTGTTGATGGTAATGATGGTGGGAGCATTAGTATAGACAAGGTTCCAACTGCCACTTTTAACACTTGTCTAACACTGCTGAGATAGAATATAAATTATGCAGTTGTTTAAAAAAAAAAACAGTGGCAGTTTGTCCACACTTGAGCGCTCTCACCTGTGGAACTGCACTGGTGTTAGTCACAGTGGGAAGTTCTAGTGGGGGAAAGGCTAATGTATGCTAGGATTCCAGTTGCGTGTTCACTGTTTCATTGGTTTTGCTACAGAACTGTTACTTGGTCCTCCTAGGCAATTCCATAATGCACCATAGAATAGCATGGTCCAGTGAATAGGGCACTGGACTGGTGATGAGGGCTCTATTCCTGGCCCTGCCACCAACTTTCCAAGTGACCTTGAGCAAGTCACTGTACCTTTGTGTATTTCTGTTTGCTGTTGTCTGTTTTGTCCCTTTGGATTGTATGTCCTTTCATGCAGGGACCATCTCTTGCTATGCATTTGTACATTGGAGCCTTGATTTCAGGTGAGGTGTCTAGCTGCTACTGCGATACAAATAACTAGTAATCATAATAGATCCTGCCGGACAAGTTCCCTCTGTGCCATTTCAAACTGGATTAGCTCCTTCCTAGAAAATTACATTTAAACATGGTTCTCCCTAGAAAAGTGATTACATTTTGAAAACTGTGTAGATGGAGTCCAACTGTTACAAAGGATTCTACAGAACCACATTAGGACAAGAGTTGTCTATACTAGGTAACATAATTGCTGTTGGAAAGGGGTATTAACTATCGGTGAAGTTGAACCAGGGCTGTAAAGTGTAAACAATTTAACTATGAGGGTAGGCTGGACTAAACCACGTTCAGCACAACTTCAGAATCATGACTGAGCCTTGAAATTCTGCCACCTTACTGGCAATTACAGGCCAGTAAGCCTAACTTCAGTACCAGGCAAATTGAAACTATAGTAAGAATAGAATTATCAGACATAGATAAACATGGTATGTTGCAGGAGAGTCAACATGCCTTTTGTATGGAGAAATTCTGCCTCACTAATCTATTAGAATTCTTTGAGAGTCAACAAGCATATGGACAAGGGTGATCCAGTCAATGTAGTATATTGAACTTTCAGATTGCCTTTGACAAGGTTCCTCACCAAAGACTGTTAAACAAAGTAGGCAGTCATGGGCTGTGTTCCCTCTAAGGTGCGCTCACAAGGCCATCAAGGGACGCGCACCAGCTGCCCAGGTGCGCACACAGGTGAGTGTGGAGAATGTGGAGGGTGGGAGCAGTGGGGTGAGGTGATGAGGGTTTGGGGGAGCTTAGGGCATGCAGGGCTGGGGCAGGAGAGATGCCTCTCTCCCCCAACCCCAGTTCCGCCAGGGCTGAGGTGGGGATGGGAGAGGAGCCTCTCTCCCCAGCTCCTGCCGGGGTTGTGGCAGGGATGGGAGAGACATCTCTTTCCCCTGTCCCCAGTTCTGGCCAGGGCTGCAGCGGTGATAGGAGAGGCGCCTCTCTCCCCCAGCTCTGGATGGGGATGTGGCAGGGACGGGAAAGATGCCTCTCTCCCTCGGCCCCAGCCTCGGGGCCACGGAGGGGAGGGGTGTGTGTGTCATACACACACTGTCTCACACACACTGACACACACATGTAACACTGTCTCTGTGTCTCACACATATATACACACAGTCTTTCACACTCACCTTCCAACACATACTTATATTGTTGTTGTTACTTCATGATACTTCCTGCAATGCACATATGTTCTCTGTAATTTTATTCTTTCAAAGTGCTATTTTATTTTATTTTTTTTGTCTGGTCTATGCATGTCATAATTTTTATTTCTCTTATGCTTAAATTCAATTCTTTGAGTAGTGAGTTCTAAAATACCTAACCTGTCCTGGCTGGAGTCATCATCGCTATGGTAACTTTTAAAAAATATATATTATATCTAGGTTTTTTGTTTCTACTGGTGACGCACATCCGCACATTACCTTGATATTGGTGCACATAAAATTCATTCCACACACAGATGAAAAAAATTAAAGGGAACATTGGTCATTGGATAAGAGGGAAGGGCCACTCATGGATCAGTAACTGGTTAAAAGATAGGAAACAAAGGGTAGAAATAAATGGTCAGTTTTCACAATGGAGAGAGGTAAATAGGGTCCCTCAAGGATCCGTGCTGTTCAACATATTCATAAGTGATCAGGAAAAAGGGATAAACAGTGAGGTGACAGACGATGCCAAATGACTCAAGATAGTAAGTCCAAATCTGACTGCAAAGAGTTACAAAAGGTCTCACTAATCTGGGTGAGAAGATGGCAGGTTAAATTCAATGTCGATAAGTGCAAAGTAATGTATGTTGGAAAACATAATCCCAACTATCCATACAAAATGATGGGGTCTAAATTAGCTGTTACCACTCAAGAAAGAGATCTTGGAGTCATTGTGGATAGTTCTCTGAAAACATCTGCTCACTGTGCAGTGGCAGTCAAAAAACTAACAGAATGTTAGGAAGTATTAGGAAAGGGATAGATAATAAGACAGGCAAATATTATAATGCCACTATATAAATTCATGGTATGCCCACATCTTGAGCACGGCTTACAGTTCTGGTTATCCCATCCAAAAAAAGAATATTAGAATTGGAAAAGGTGCAGAGAAGGGTAGGGAAAATGATTAGAGGTAGGGAACAGCTTCCATATGAGGAGAAATTAAAAAGATTGGGACTGTTCAAGAACTAGGGATCATCCAATGAAATTGATAGGCAGTAGGTTTAAAACAAAGATAAGGGGGTACTACTTTCACATAATGCACAGTTTACTTGTGGAACTCATTGCCATGGGATGTTGTGAAGGCCAAAAGTATAACAGGGTTAAAAAAAGAACTAGATAAATTCATGGAGGATAGGTCCATCAATGGCTATTAGCAAGATGGTCAGGGATGCAACCTCATGCTCTGGGGTGACCCTAAACTTCTGACTACCAGAAGCAGGGACCGGATGACAGGGGATGAATCACTTGATAAATTACCTTGTTCTATTAATTCTCTATGAAGCATCTGGCACCAGCCAGAGTCAGGAGATAGGGGTACTGGCTAGATGGACCATTAGTTTTAGCCAGTATGGTTGTTTTTTATGTTCATCTGATGGACTTATATGCCTGTGGATCCAAGAACAGAATTTGTCCTTTACTTTTTCCTTAAATTCCATGTGTTGCAAAATTAATTTGACTTGGACTGCAAGAATAGTAGTGTGGATGTTTAACATTGATGTGAAAATGGTGTACATGGTTAGATAGCTTACACTATTAAAGTAACCAATTTTGAAGTTAAATTGGTTTAACTTTGTACAAGCAGAGTTTATGCTGGGTATCTAGTGTAAAGAGAGAGGGCGTATTAAAGTGCTTCCCTTTTCTCCTCCCAGTGCTTCAGAAAGAAGGCTCATACCCAAAGGAGATTAAATAATTTATTTATGGAAGCCAACATATTTGCTTTTGTGTTTTGTTTTAACAAATACTTTGATTTCTTAAAAAGTTACAAGAGAAGCATCATGGAATATCAGGGTTGGAAGGGACCTCATGAGGTCATCTAGTCCAACCCCCTGCTCAAAGCAGGACTAATCCCCAGACAGATTTTTGCCCCAGATCCCTAAATGGCCCCCTCAGGGATTGAGTTTAAAACCCTAGGTTTAGCAGGCCAATGCTCAAACCACTGAGCTAACCCTCCCCCTTCCTAGATATGCAACCTTAGTTTTAGAATAAGTATGTGGTGAAGGAAGACACCATACTTACAAATGATAAGAAGTGTTTTGGGATTTTTTACATAGTACTTGGTTGATAACATACAAATGTAGAGATTACAAGACATTAAGACAATGATTGGTGGTGTTCATTTTTTGTGTAACTTTTTTTTTTTCATAGAGAAAAACACAAAATTGTAGCTCTGCTGCATATAATTTCTTTTGACTCACTTTTTGGATTGCTGTCTTACCCTTGAGAGGCTTGAAAGAAGAGACGTTACTGGGCCAAAGGACAGATGGACATGCCAGGATAAGCAAATGCAGGCCCTGAAAAGTCTGTACTGACCAGAGAGGCAGAATATTTAAAGCAAGAGAGTTGGGGCCAAGGGGTCAGCTTCCAGCAACAGGAGAATCAGCCCCTCAGTTGCTCTCTACAGAGTTGGAGGGAGAACTCCATTTGCCTCTTCTCCAAATGAACCAGTTGACCAAAAGCCTCCAGCTTCTTAGGGAGTGTCCCCCCTTAACTACCTGTTCCTGAAATCAATTGGCTACTTAAAGCCTTGGGTAGAGACACAACCAAAGCTCCCTGTTCAGAGGGAGAGGAGACTCTAGCCTCCCTTGTACTGGGAGCTGAGGGAAGACTAAGAATTGATCAATACAAGGACTTGCTCAACCCAGTGAGTGATCTGCCTGCCTCACAATGGGATGCCACAATTGTGAGTAATGTGTGCACTTCTCAAAGCTAGTTAATAAAGGCCCCTGAGGTGAGTTAAGAGCTGGTCTGTGTATACATGGAGCAGAAAGGGTATGTCAGCACCACAGTGCTCCTAACAAAGGTCAGGCCTGCAACTTCCCTGTAACTTCAAGTTCACCTTCCTTTGGTCATTCCAAAAGTGCTCCAATGCATAGGGCAGTGTGTACATTCCATCTGCCTGAGACTGGTAGGTAGACACTGGGCATGTACCCCCATTGCCCTTTATATTATTTTTGAGGGATATTGATTATAATTAGTTACTAGAGGGAATATGATTATTTCAGGAGGGTCTGATTATTGTTGTAAGATTAAGGTATTCATTTATTTATCTGTCCCCTTTGATCTTCCTTCCTTTTTATCCTAATTTCTGTCCTTACTCCTTTAACACTATTTCCCCCCCCCCCCCGAAGTGTTTGTTCCTTCTTAAAACTGCTTGGCCCTTGATTCAGGATGTTGGGCACTAGGATGGCAAGAGAGGGCAAGTTGCTCAACTTTAGTAATTTTTTTGGACTCATTTGTGGGTTTGCCACAGTCAAGGGGCAGTGCATGATTATGCTGTCCCAGGAATAACCCAACAGACACATGATGACTCTGTCACAGTCTGCCTCCTAGTTTCCCCTTCATCCACAGAGGAAGTACCTAGTATTATGCCTATGGTAGCCTGCACACTGAAGATTGGTAGTCCCTACCCCATCCTATTGTCCCTCTCCTGTTGTGCCCAGTCCTGCTCAATGACATGGAGATGAGGCAGCCCTGCAAAGGCTCCTCTGTGCTGCTACCTATGATCCAGGAAGCTGGTGCAAGGGAGTAAACAGGTTGCCATATTCCCTCATGTAGCACACGATGTGCCACAGACTGGCCCCTTTGTGAGCAGAACATCTACCCACAACTACATTTTGAAGCAGGCTCACCAGCTTTGAAAGGTACTGCTGTGTCCACAAAGTCTTCAGACTACATAATTTTCCCTTCTATGTAATTTCTTTAAATGATACATAATGAGATACCACTGGAATAAAGGCTTGTAATCATTCTTATTTTGGAATGTACTGTACAGTATACTGCCCTCTTCCAGATCTTTGAACACTGTAATTCTCTTTGCTCTTGAAGTCTTGAGCAGTCCTAGTCATTCATGTGTGAATATTTTTCTCAAGTCATATACTCAGTTTCCAATATATTCCTCAGATCTGATCCCTTTTCTATTTTTCAGTTTTGCTGACAGTGATTTTATCACTGTCTGAACCTTTACTAATTTTTAACAAGAATTGTAACTTACACTGCACTGCTCAGAGATTCATTTGCACTATTAATGTATACCTTTGATTCAGAATAAAAACTGAGGGGGAAATACTAATGGTATGTGTAAGATCTGCTTTAATGTATTATGGGAGTAAAACCATGATACACTATAGTTTAAAATACCACACTTAAAACATCTAGTAAATCAGTCTCTCGATTCAGTTACTGAATAGGTGTACAATGTTTAATCTCAGAAAGCAGATGGTATTTTAATGTTTATCTTTGCCAGTTTAATTTTAGTGTTGCAATATTTATTATGGATTCCTATTCGAGAGCTCTTAAAAATGAAGCATAATGTGATCGTGAATAGTTACTATAGCAGCAGCATGTACATTAGCTTAAAGAATAAGCTGCACATTGAAATGCTCGTGTAATTATGTATTTCATTAAAAAAACAGAGTAGGTTAGAGTTGCCAGTCAATTTTCCTACCTACGCTCCATTTCTTTGTAAGACTGATTATTTTCTGCAAGGTGTACTAGAAGTGATTTAAAAATATTGACATTTTCAAAGTTAAGCTTTTCTTTGGGATTCCCATTGCAGCACATCTCCTTCCTCTTATCTTTTAGTCCTGGATTCTGCATTCAGATACATACAGGTGTAAGTGTCCACTTGCATGGAGAATTGGTACCTTAGACTGTAAGATTTCCTGACAGACTAGATCTATTTTATTCAGTGCACAGCATACAGTGGATGATTAATGAATGGGTCTACTCACAAACATTGGTCTTCATGCTTTGTAGTTTCCTGTCACATATAGAGAAAAATTGGTATTTATATTTGCCTATTTATTGTTCTGTGATTTATATGCAAAGTTTGCATTTTGTTGAGTTCTGGATAGCAGGCCCCAGAAACAGATGTTGAAAACTGTCCATCAAAGTTCATTAGGAGAGGAAAGAGAACCACAGGTCTCTAATTTTTATATGCCTGTGTATATATACATATATGTATATACATATTTAGAGAGAGTGAGTTAGTTAGTTGTCTATTCAGGCACCTACCTATATGTCTATTCAGGTACCTACCATAGCCTCAGAATTTTTGTTCAGACCAAAACTAGTTATTGCCCTTTTTTGATGCTCTACATCCTTTCTGGTGTGGGTGTGGGGTCGGAGAATCTTTTTCATTATTATTTTAAAATCTATCTGGGTGCTAGGATATTTCACTATAATCTGTATCCCACTGGTCTGAATCCTGAGGTCTTTATTCAGTTTTTAATTAGTCCTTACACATGCAAAATCTCATTTGAATTTTGTTGCTTAAATATTAATTGGCTAATACATTCTGTATTTTCTTAATACACAATATTTTATACAAAGCAATTTATACATATATATGTGTACTTTCCTTCCCATGTATCCTTAAAAGCTGATTAACACCTAAAAATATGAAATTTTACATGATGGGAGCTAGGTTTGGTATCGTGGTCAGTTATAAAACAAACATATTTAACTTGCTAACACGGATATAAAAGCTTGCGTGAGCTTTATTTCCATGGATTGCTATCTTAAATTAGCAAACAAATTGTGATGTTATGAATTATATAGTATTGCAATTACAACTGCATATATTCCTTTCCTGAGTGTGGTCATTGTGCTCATTTAATAGAAATTGTTACTATAAGGGCAGTCAATAATCCCTTGTTGCAGTTACTTTATTCATTAGTGTTCATTTGGAGCCACCTGTGAATTGCATCTTTATACTTTCTTGGTTCTTTTAACCAGTCCTGATGCCATCTGAGATTAGCTATAACATTGGAATAATTCTGTCCCAAACTTAGTTTCCAGCTGATAAATTGCTTCTTGTTGTACTTGTGCACAGAGGCAGAGATTCTTGGATAGTTTACTATGGAGCGAAGCTTTTTGTCCAAGGAATGTGAGACTTCTGGAAATGTTGTGGCTATGTTTGTCAGTTCATCTGGATCAGCAGACAGATCTGTAACAAACAAAAACCAGTTAAGCGCAATTTGCCAAGATATGATTTGGTAAAAACAGAACCATTAAAAATATCTAGTGAAGAAACGTGGTTAGTATACCAAAGAGCTGAGGAGGTACTGAATGCCCATCTGAATATGCTATATATTTCCATTTGTCAGTTCGAAGCATATAGGTGGAAGAATTCGCATTACATCCATGAAATTCACTTAGGACCCATGTGGGGTGCAGCCTTCTGGATGAGACTTCATCTTCTGCTATTTCAGCCAACAACGGTATCAAGGAATATCCACTGAGATTCTGCGGGATAGGAATTCTAGCTATATCTGAACAAAGATATAAACATAGTTAAGCCTTCTTTTAATTAACTCTAATAATGATAATTAACGTTATATCAAAACACTAAATTATTAGTTTTCTGAACAGTGACCATACTACTGTGTTAAAGCATGCCTTCTAATTATGCTTCCTGATATGAAACAGAAACACAGAGGTTCACTAAAAAGAACATTATTGAAGCATAAAACCATCAAGCAAGGAAATTCTAAGATACAGTTGTCACATCAATGTGAATTCCACCTTAGTGGGCCCGTGTTGCAGTTCATGTCATGCTCTTTTGTCTTTGTATGTCTGAGGTGAGATCCACCAACACTCTGGACCCTTTATGCCATATGAAAAGACCAGAGCAACGTAAAAGGGCCCTAAAAGCTCCATATGGGACTGGGGGAGGATTCACCTGGCCTAGGCTGCATTATTATTATTTAGCTTTTATATAGTGCTTTTCAGCAGATTAAATGCTTTACAAAGGGTCAGTATCACTACTCCCATTTTACAGATGAGAAAACTGAGGCACAGAGAGTTGAATTGACTCGCCCAAGGTCACCCATCTTCTTGCAATCCCATGCTGGGAGTAGGGTGGGGGGCAGAAGGGGCCTGCCAAGGGCAGGGCCACAGCTTTGACTCAGGAACCTCTTAGTGCCAACTGACAAGGGGCACAGGAATCTCTTCCCTCGGTATTTACATTATAGCTCAGCAAAACAGTATCATGCAAGGTCTTGAATAAAAGTCTGCGTCACTCAGTATCATTGTGAAATGTATGTACAGACACTATGTAAGGAGTTATGCATGTGTACATATTATGGAAAATGTCTTCTTAAAGTCTGTGGCTAGGGATTGGTCACCAGCAAAGGTGAAAAACAGGCTGTCAGAGAGGAGATGTTTATCCATCTGTTTACATGTAAATTAAGTATTGTCTGGTTCACAGTGGGTTTCTGATCACCAGTCTGAACTGAATACAAATGAAGAATTGTGGGGATTTGAGAAAGAAACTAACAGGAAGAGGAAAAATGGGGGGTGGAAGAACCCTATCTAGAGGTGTTCTTCAAACAATTGCCTGAGTATTTTGGTAGGGACAAAGGAGGTGCCTGGGCACAATTTACTGAGGAAGAAAAAGGACAGCAGTTTTGCTTCATGAAAAAGGGTCTCAAGCAGACTTCATTGAAAACACTGGAGAGAACTTTGGGTGAGACAAGCATCTTTAGACAAGAAATTAACCTGTTAGTTTAGCATCTACAATTAAGGGTGTTATAGTTTTGTTTGATATGTTATTTGTTTCTAATTCTCTTACTATCACTTAAATCTCTATTTTTTTTTATAACAGATAAACTTATTCTTGTTTTCACTATAAATATAAGTGCTGTGATGCCAATCAAAGTGGTGATCCTGGGTTGCACGTTACAAGCTGATGTGTACTGTTCCTTTGGGAGCTGCGAGCCTGGTAATTCTGTGCGTGAGTGTTCAGTGGATTAAGGGCCTTGATACTGCAAGGAGCGCTCTGAAACTAAGTGGTTGGTGTGTGCCCATCACTACCTGCACACACAAAGTAAGGCCTGAGGAGACCTAGAAGTCAGTGCTTGTGCTGCCAGAGGCTGCTGGTTTCAGCAGGCACAGACAAGACTGTTTCACACTAAGGGCAAGTGGTAGTTAGGTGCCTCAGAGTCATAACCCTGGGGAGCAACACAACAGCACATGGTGCAAAAGAGATTCTGGGCAGGGTGCAGTCCAGGTAGGCTGCCATAACTCAGGCTGCCCCCCAAGAGCTACATTGTACTAGTGGAATCTCCAGCCCCCAGAGCAGGCCTAGATTAGGAGTGTGCAAAGATGCATTGATACTCTAGGAGGCCCAATACAGAATATCACCCATGCTATCTAAATACCAAAGTGTCTATTAAGAATGTAGTACTATTTTTATCATACCTTCAAACACAGTATACTATGTGTCATTAATAACTCTGTGTTTTCCATTTCACAGTGGACTGCAGTAGTGTGTTATTTCCTGTTTTATGCCTAGGTTATTGCAGGTACATAGAGTAGTCACTTCATTTGCTAATGGCACCTACTGTATGTATATAGCCCATACTGGTGACATATTTTTTCTCAGTAGCATCTGACATCTTTCTTCTCCTCTCCTAGCTTTGTTAAATTGTTTCTGTAGGCTATGCATCAGTCTATAGATCTGCATCCTGCTATGGTGAACAGGTGGCTTCATGGAGGCAGCATTTGACTTAGCAGTAGGAAGAAAAGTGGTATCTTATGTAAACTAGTAACCTACAGTCTTTGGTCCAGACTATGCCCAACCCTAAATGAGTGCACAAGGGATATAAGCCCTGGTTCTTTACACAAGGAGTGTTCAAGGCTAACATCTTCAATAGTTGTAGCCTCTCCAACGGGGCTGAGGGAGCCACACCGCCCAAACCACCTCCATACTGACCAGCAAAGCTGAGGCCACCTGGAGGGAAGGGCATGTCCCACCCTGTTAAAGGATATGGAATAAGAGTTGCAATCTTAGGGAAATTATGCCTACCACAGAGTTTCTGCCAGGGTCAATCACGACCCTTTGCACCCTCTGCAATTTATCCTCAAATCAGTCAGATAGGCAAGGAGTGAATCTCCAGTTTATCCGAAAACAAAGTATTTCGATAAGATGGTTTCTTGAGAAGAGAGAATATTTCCTTGTGACCATATAAGCCAAAGCAATTACATTTGTAATGGCCAAAGACGCATGGGTTGTTTCATCACTTGCCAGAAAGGAAAGGTTAAAAGATGACTGAGATGCTTCTTCCTTTTTTTTCTTAGTCACCTGAATAATTTAATTCTACTTGATTTATGTTTCTATTTTTGACATACTGATTACAGGAAGGAGGAATTGGCAGAACAGAAGAAGACTGAGAGAACAGGAAGGAGATGGCTTTAAAAATACAGATTTCAAGAAGAGAGACTGAAAAGGAAAGATTTTAAAACACTTGGATCAATAAATTATTTGGAGGGAGTGACAGACACAACCAGGAAGGGAGTGATTTAAAATCTGTTAATATATTGTTGGGATCAAATCTGGATTTACATTCACTCCATAAGATGGTATATATCCTGTCCTGGCTCTGAAAGGGCTAATGTTGGCCTGAGCTTAACTGGTTTTTGTTTGTTACAGATCTGTCTGCTGATCCAGTTGAACTGACAAACATAGCCACAACATTTCCAGAAGTCACACATTCCTTGGACAAAAAGCTTGTGCTTCTGTTGTTTGTTGCTGTACCTGTTCTTTGGACACAATCACTTTCCAATGTTGGCAGTTCAGCACTTTTAATACATATGCAATTCATTAAGGAAAAGATAACAATGGGCAGAGGAGAAAGGTGACAAACCAGTGAGATGAAAGGAGAGAAATATGTTGAGGGCAGATGGATAGGAGGACATATGAGATGTGGAAGTGGCAGAACAGAAGAGAAAACATCTTTTTTCTTAGTGTTCTTTCTTTTCTCTTCTCTCTCAACAACTTTGCCAGTTCTACTCTTTTCCTTCTATCCCTTTTCACTTCTCCTTTGGACAACATTCTGACTCTTCTCTCTCCCCTCAATGTTGCTTTCAGAGTCCACCCCACTCTTCCCCATCCACTTTCCTCTCTGATTTTGACACCTGGATCTCCATCTTGTAACTATGTACCATTTTCATCCTACTAGCTTCATCGTCTGTCAAGTCTGACCTTCAAAGCTAAACTCTGCCACTCACCAAGTCAGCTGCTCACTCAACATTGAGGTCTCATCTACTCTCCTCTAACCTCTCTGCTTGACCCAGTGTGTCAGGGTCTGTGGAAGACTGGTGCCCAGGAAATGGGTGGTCTGGTTTGGTGGTCGGTGCAGTGTTCAGGAACCAGAGGCCAAGAGGCAGATCCAGAGCCAGGTGTCAAAGTTGAAATTCTGAAGCTATAGAGCCATAGCCTAGCATTAGAACTGGAGTCAAACTGGAAACAGGAACTGAAGCCAAGGGTCAGTACTAAGTCAGAAGCCAAAAAACGGAATAAGGTCAGAGCTGGAGCAGTCAGAAACCAGGGCAATAAGGTTGAGGGACCGGAATGAGGCCGAGGGCAGGAGCCGGGAACAGGGTAAGGTTGAAGTCAGGAGGCGCAGATTATGCCAGAAGTGAGGCAGCGGATGGTAGGGTCTGTAGCAGAAGCAAGCCAGGATCCACTTTGTTGCCCAGACAACTACTAGTCTCTTTGTGGCTTAAATAGTGAACCCTAGGGTTACCATCCGTCCGTATTTCCCCGGACATGTCCGG